CAATTGAACCATAGGAAATAATTTAGTCTATCAAGCTCTTCTCGAATCTATCATTTCAACGCTTTCATTAGAAAATAAAATATTCCACTTTATCCTTTTCCAAAAGTTCAGCTTTTGTGTTTGGCATCCACACCTTGGGCGAATGAGTGCCGGAATCGTCCTGATGGCCGGCCAATCCTAGAAAAAGAATTACTAATTCCAAGGACTAAAAGCCTCCAGTTGAACGTTGACTGTGCGACTAATAGACTCGCATATTTATCGTAGCAAGTTCAATTTTTTATTCGCATTTGCGCCGTATGTTTCCGGCTTAGTTCTCCTGGCCATTACCAGCGTTTGATGCCTGTGTGTAGGTGGTTGTGTGTGGGTGTATGTGTGGCGCGGCCATTAGCTAATTCTTTGGGCCATAGAATAAGCTTTGAGCCGGTTATAAATTAAAGAGAGAGTTTTGCAGCTGCCGCTAGGTCTCAAAAATACGTTACATTTTTGGGTCAGTCGGGTGAGAAACTCAGGGGTCAACAATTAAATGACATTTGCAATAAAAGATTCTCGTTTTCAATAGGCGGCAATGAAAAATTATTTAAATGCTAAAATTTTATTTTCGCATATCAAGACGGAAAAAAGGTCAAATAGGGTCCAGTTTCCCGGTTCCGGGTTAGGGTCAGCCAATGGTCAATTAAAATCACTCTAAAACCCAGCTGAACCCGACCCCAACCCACCCAAAAACCATTTCTCAAACATGCAAAACAAAGAGGCGAAAATTTTTGATCTGCAAAAATCCTTTTTTGTTGTTGGATCGACTGCTACAGTTTTCAGTTTTTGGAATGTCGGGCCATAAATTTGACCCTAGCCACCCCTATATGTGTGACTCTCCTTGAGGCGTCTTAGCCGTGACCCCGAATTCGAGTCCCGAATTCATGCAATTTTCCCGGCACATTCACATTATTCGCATTAATTTTAACCTCTGGCTGACGCTGACAAGGGGTCAGGGCACTGGCGCGCGTTCTCAATTTTATTTTATTTTGTTTTGTTTCATTTCGTCCAGCTTTCCTTCTCCACCTCCTACTCCTCTACTGGCCAATGGCTGATGACCACTGGCCAACCCTCGATCCGCATCTGTGCCACCGCAGGGGTCACGAAAGTGTGAAAATGTGTAACTGCTGCGTAGACTGATTAGATGACCGAGTCCTGCGTCCAAGGATCACCGGGGTGGGTGCTGATATTCTTGCATTTGGCGCTTGTTTTTCAATGCCAATTGCCTAAGCTCAGGATTTTGTTTTATGAGTTTCTACGTTTTTCAATGGACAATGGACAATGGTCTTACATTTGTATGGATTCACTTCGATGGCGACTTAGTGGCCTTAATATCCAGCGAATTACGAGCGTAATCGCGCCAAATAAAATCGATGTGCAGGATCCTTTCAGAGCCTTCTAGTAACCTTGGAATAATAAATCCCACTAAGCTATTATTATTGTTATTATTTATTATTCACAGCATTAGGCTTAAAGTAGTATTATAATATATAGAAAATAAAATTTAAAATTTCTTCTATTTTTCGTAAAATGGTGAATTTTTCATGTATTTTCCAAGCAGTAAATAACTTATTTTAAATAAAATGGTATACTCAACCCTTTACTTTTCCAAACCCTCTACTTACATGTGGCATAAAAACATAAACCCATCCAGATACCAATACCGTCCAGAACTTAACCCTTTCGCCTAATTACAAGACCACCCGTTCCGAGAAGACTTTCCCCTTATAAAAAGTGTTCGGAGTTTCGTTCTAACCCTTTCTTCAGACAGCTAACCATTTTTTCCGTCCGCAAAAGGGTTGAGGAAGTACACGGTAAGGACATGCTCAGACATTGGTCATGCAAATGCGAACAAAGGACACCATAAAAAAGAAACAACCGAGGCGTCATAAAGAACACAAAGGCCAAGACATTAGCTGGAAACAAAAAGAGGAGAAAACGCAGAACGAACAAATTGTGGGACGATTCGAAGGAACTCGCAAGGACATTCTCAGGATGCAATTTTTTTCTTAATGGTGAAAGGGTTAAGGTGCACCCACACAAAAAACACAGAAGACCGTGGAAATCTACCTGCCCAACTTCCAACTGGCGGATGCCATAAAAAATAAAAAAATATTTTATTATTTTGGTCCTTTGGTCCTTTACGCGGAAGTGCGTTTTTTGTGTGCCGTTTTTTAAGTTTGGGTCAAAAGTTCGGGTACAATCGTATGTAGAGCGGAGTGAGACAAACCCGGCCTAATGACCATTAGAGATCTGGTGTAGTTCGGACGGGATATTGTATTCTGGGTGGGAGGTGGACTCAAAAGCAGTTTCTGGCGATTTTCCAGATACTTTCATTGTTAAGAGCTAATATTTTTGGTCTTACCTGACCAAAAACAAACCGAAACCAAGACGAAACGCTGGCCGAGATGCAAAGTGAGTCGCCCTCATAAAACGCCGTGGCGTGTTGGCAGAAAATCCATCCATCGATTGTCTTCCATGTCCTGCCGTTGTCCTTCACGCTTTTGTTTGCCGCGCAGCTAATTTTACTGTGGAACTATTAGGCGAAACAATGAAAATTAGAGCAACTATTTGCCCAGTCTCAGTCCCTGCTCTAGTTTCCTTTTTTAATCCTTCAGTTGAGGTCGTTTCGGGCTAAAAAAGGATTTTTTGGTTGCTTTCTCGTCCTTTTGCCACAACATTTCGGGCTAAAAATATTTCCCGATTTCTGTTGCTTTCTGTCTTCCGTGTCTTCGCAGGATTGTGGGCGTAACGGGACTCTTTGCACTTTTGATTTATGCAAAAAGGACATTTTCGTGTCGGGACGAGTCGCGGTTCTTAAGCCGGGGTTTTAGGTTTAGAAAAAAATCGTTGTTTACTTTTTTATTTTTAGATTATTGAAAAAATGTTAAAGAATATATTTATAATATTATATTAAAATATAGTAAAAAAATATAATAAAATATAATATAAAAAAAAACTATATTAAAAAATAAATAAATAAAGAAGTAGAGAAATGATATATTTATTTTATATTTTTTTAAACACCCTTAAATAATCTGGATTCTAGAAACCAAAACCTTAAGTAAAATGGTTAACCATTTACTGTGTAATCCGCTTAAAATCTCAAGATGATGGACATATCAAAACACAAAAAAGATGCCCTAATGAGGTTGCCCTAAGGACCTCTTAAGGAAAAATTCGGTCAACCTCAAAATCCTGTCTGAATCAATGAACATTGAGGAGAGATATTTGCATATGGGAGATACAAAGACACCAAAATACAGATGTTGTCTGCCTCCCCTTGAGAAAGAAGCATTTTTAAGGACATTAAAGGAAGGCGGCTGGGTGAAAGGTCATGCGGCATTTGCATATAGTGAAGGGTCCTTAACGATCCTTAGCTATCCTTGAGCATGTTTGTGTTTGCACCTATCTCGATTATAGGCATTCCCAATTAAAAGGTCAAGCGTGTCGATTCTAGGTCACTTTTCACCTACGTAATGTCTAGGGCTTCAACTTTACATAACTTTCCGTAAGTATTCGACCGTAGGGCGTGGATTGCCGCACGCGGATCAGTGCTCCACGCCCGCCCGCCAGCTCAAGGAGCGCTAATCGGCTGATCAGTGCTCGGTAATCGCCCGGGACTAACTGGATCCTCCGGATCAACGCCGTTGATCCCCGGTGATCCTGCGTACTGCGTAATGTTGGATTATGCCAAATTTAAATCGCTTTTAAATCTGCTCTAGTTTGAGTCGCCTCGCGAGTCGCGAACTTCTTCGGATTCGCGGATTAATGGACAAGGCGAGGACGACCAGGTAGCGTCCGCCGTTTAATCCTTTCTTCGACGCTCGGCAGCATCCTAATCCACAACTAAGTCCGGTTGCAGTTTCTAATCCGGTTGACTGTGTCAACGTCATTGACAGGCCAGTCGGTCGGGTTACCTGCAGCTTCCTCCTCATGTCCTCATGCGAAAGTGTATCTGTATTTGTGAAATGTATCTGTGCTCTCGGCGAGCTTGTGTCATTTGCATATCGACGTGGCTTTGTTTGCATTTTGGGCAGTCGTTGGTTTTGTAAATATTGCCTTTAAATTTTCCCTTTTCAGTCACCGCCTCTCGCAGGACACAATAGATGCAAACATTCTAATTATAATGAATGCATAATATGCTGTTTATCTTAAACGGTCCTTATTATTTGGGGTTTGGTGGAAAATTATTTCAGAGATAATTCGAATAAATTAATTGTAAATATATATAATTATCCCTTCAAGAATAACCCGAGCTTGAAATACTTATTGTATCAGAACTTTTATCCTATTAAGCTAAGACTCACACACATAATGGGGAGTAAGCCAAATCTGTTAAAGCAACAGGAAATCTCTCCGGTCAAATCAGTTGGCCCGAATTACAGACAACTAACTTGTTAATGTGTCTGGGCTTAAAGTTCCCGCACAGGAGCCCAAATAACAATTGGCGAAGGCGAGACCCTCTCGCCTGCCCCCACACCCTGCCCCACTCTCTTTTTGTGCCAAAAAATCAATAATCAATAATGAAGCGAAGCTCCCAAAAACACTGCCAAAGAGCAGCTGCAATCCGCAAAATGCAGCACCAGAATCAGAAAATGCAGCGCGTGGACCAAAACCCAAAGGATGAAAACTAGACGACAACTTGCCGGAGAGCGAGTGAGAGCGCGTGAGGGTGAGTGAGCCAGTCGTATGGGGGATGTTGTTCTTTGGGGTTGGGGCATCGCACTCAACTCACTCACATCGTGAGCTCATTTACAGCAGCATCCGATTTGAGTGAGTTTGGTTTCTTTTAGAGGCGATGCTCTCCGTTTCTCCTGTAACAACAAATGAGCGCCTCTCGGGTCGTGTGTGTTCTGCTGCATTTTTGACATTTGTTTCCTCTTTGCAATTGAGATTTGTGATTTGAGTCGGAATTTGAGTGCTTGAGTGCACTATCCGGAGTTGATTTTGTCTATGACTAGCGCCAGTTGAGCACGGTACCCTGTCAGTCGTGCTCTGAGATTCGAAAAAGGCGAACGTCGCCCCCGACAAGGAGCATCCACAAGCCAAATCACACCAAAGGACGAGTGCGATAACGAAACTGCTACCAAAATACAACCATTGCCAAAAATTTACAAAAAGAAAACTGTGAACGTGCTTACAAAAAACACTAAAATCAGTCTGAGTTTGGGATTATTTTTTACATTACCAAAGACTTTTTCCGCACATGCGCGAATTCCGCGCAAAAAAAGGCAAGCTAAAAAGAAGAGGGCCAAAAAATAGACAAAAACGACAAGCAAGGAGCATTTGAGCCCCCCCATCTAACTCTCCCCCTGGCAGCACGCACTGTTATCGCAGCCTCTGTGTGCGTGTTGATTTAACGGTGCCGCGGTCAAGTGTAGCAAAAAAGAGAGTGAGAGAATCCGCGACGGAGAGCGCACTGCTCCCCAGTTCCCGTTTCTGGATCCACTTGGAAAATTTGTTCGGAGGACGCCAAGGTATGTAAATATTAATTTCCATCAAAAGTTTGTATCAAAAGGGGGGCCTTAGCCATAAGCAGAACACTACAGGTTAGCCTTCAATAAATCTTAAAAAACCCATACAGGTAGAAATTTTTGAAAGCTTCGCTAGCTTTCCTCCCACTGATAAACAAATAAACAAAATATAGGATCTATTTGCGGGGCAAATTTTAAATTGTTGGGGTATGCATAAATATATAGACTTGATTTTTTCCAAAAACATTTAACAAATTTTACTTTAATAATGTTATCAAAAATTATTAAATTGTTAACTTGTTGGGTCTTAACTTCTTACTGGTCTTTTCTGGACCTTCGAGTCCCTGTTTCTTCAGAGATATCTAAGTAGGAACTAAGTATATAGTCGAATGCTTTCAGGGATAAATCATTTGCTAAAAATGCAACTGCAGAAAATTTTAAAACAATATTTTAAAATCTGTCTGGCTTTTGGCCGATCTTTGGGTGAACTTGTTTTTTGCCTGCTCTGTCTGTTTTGCATTCTGCCCAGAATTGCATTGGCAGCCCCCAACTTCCACAGCCCCTCCTACCGATCCCCAATGCCTGACAGCTAATTTTATTTGTTTACATGTCGACTTTCATGTTATTTTTTCTTCATACCTCCTGGCCGACCATTTTTACCATTTTACCATTTCTATTCGCCATTCGCCGACTTTCCTCTTTCCCCCCAAAAAGCATTTTCGGTTTTTTTCCTCTCCAATTTTTTTTATTTTTATTTTTTTTTTATAATTTAAATTTAGACATCGAACTATATTTCAAAGTCAACGTTGCAATTTTTTAATGGCAAATGACTTATTCCTTGCCAAAAATATTTTGAGATTCTGAAATGTTTTTTTAGGATCATCACAAGATGATATATCTCATAGACAGATTGTCACTCGGATGGGGGGACACAGTCTTAATGCTTTCTGACAAAAAGAACTGATGAGGCTTTGTTAGGCGCATAAAAATAAATATCTCTATATTATATGGGATGTATTTATAAACCCAAATGACATTGAATGAGTTCGGCTGCAGTTGCAGTTGCATTTTTTTGCGCGGGACAGGGAGATCCAAAAAGTCCAAAAAGTAAGATGGCCAAAGGACACAACAAGTTGTTCCATTTGAACCACAAACTCTGGCCCTCAAGCCCCCTTGGGTGAGTGCATTTTCTGGCATATCCTTCACTTGGCTCACTTTTTTTAGACATTTTTCGAAAAGAACATTTTTTTGTGGCGCATTTTCTGCGTTCGTGAATTTTTCCATTTTTGCCATTTTCATTATATTTTTACGTGGGGTGGGGGTAGAGAAGGGGGTATTTGGGGGGGTGGAGGGTGGTGGCAAAACGACTAGCACATGTTTAGTTTACTTTTGCAGTTTCGGTTGCCTGGCTGCTGCCTCAATGCACTAGCTGCGCCTCCTTTCGCCCCTCACAGTGGCCCCAAGTTGCGTTGTAGCCGGCGTAATATTAATTTTACACTTGGCCTTTAGTTTGGCTTTGTTGTTGTTGTGGTTGTTGGGCGTAGCGCACAAAAAAAAGCGTATACGAAATGCAAAAATTCTCTTTGTTGCACTCTCACAGAGACCAATTAATTTTGGCATTTCTTTAAAAATATCCACAAAAGAAAACTAAATAAATATGCTAAGCTTAAGTATATTTTCTTTTTCCTGTACCATCAATTATGCCCCGTATTCGCCTTCCCCGGACTCAAGCCTTTCTACGGAGAATTCCTCCGCCTCTCTAGTTATTTTGCGTTTTTAATAATATTTACTTGGACGTACAAACAATTGGCCAAAAATGCATCGAAAAATTGGGAAAAATATTGAAAATGAAAAAAGGCAATACCGCAAAAAGAAATTCTAAAAGGCGAGTTTTTTGTGGAACTGCGCAAATCAAGATGAAATGGCTTTGGAACGTAATATTCTCCAAAGTAAAGCATTTTTTATAGCTTTTTACATTTTTTCTTAAATTCTTAAAATGTGTATATATTTTGGACCATAACTTGGTATATTGTTTACCATTTAGGCCCAGCAGATGTGAGTCGCGAACCGTCTGATCCGTTAATTTAGTTAAATCCTTTTTGCTTTTTATTAGCAAATGGGTAAGTGAGTAGGCCTCCGCCTACTTTTGCAGATATTCCAGTTCCAACTTAATCCACATAGAAAACCAAGGGAAATTCGGAGTCGCAGCCGCTAAGCTGGCTAGCGCTAAGCTCCCGGATCATCCAAATCCAAGTGAGCGTAATTTTTTGTTTCGCACCAATTTCTTCTTTAATCCAGAATGGATCAAGCACGCAATCCTCTAGCCGTGATCCGCGATCCGCGACCTGTACCTGACTTTCCGTCACCTTTTTCCCGTCCCAGGCATTTGATCCTTAGGCGCGTGCGCCCGTCTACCTGAGCCGTATATAAGCCTATGCCGGTAGTAAGTCCTCAGTCAGTTACGAGTTTGCATTCCCAGCGACAACACATCACAGCATCCAGTAGCAACTACAGCACAGTTACACGCAATTTCTCTGAAAATCCGCGTATTTGGAATATATTTTGAAAACACATCACATCATCGCACATTCAACGGCCAGTGAACGGTACGTGGAATCCAAAGGATATTCTAAGGGGATAACTTCCCCTGTCCCAGTTCTCCATTTTGTTCAGAAAGCACTCAAACAGCCAAGGGGGTGGTCTCCCACCATGGCGAATTTTTAAGGGTGGCTGCCGTAAAAATAACAAAAAAGAGGAAAAAATAAAGTGAAAAACAGGGGAAAAAAAGAACAAAAAAAAAAGAGAAAAGAAAAAACTCGACGCAGGCGCAATAACTAACCACCCCTTTCTCCCACTCTCTTCTCTCCCACAGCCGTCAACAGCCGCCAAGATGCAGAACTGGGAGACGACATCCACGGCCAACTACGAGCAGCACAACGCCTGGTACAGCAGCATGTTTGCCGCCAACATCAAGCAGGAGCCGGGCCACCACCTCGAGGGCAACAGTCTGGCCAGCAGCCCCCGCCAGTCGCCCATTCCCTCGCCGATGAACCCCGGCAATCAGCTGGAACAGTTCCTCAAGCAACAACAGTCACACCATCAGCAGCAGCAGCCCATGGATACTCTCTGCGCCATGACTCCGTCTCCTAGCCAGAACGATCAGAACAGCCTGCAGCACTTCGATGCCACACTCCAGCAGCAACTGCTCCAGCAACAGCAGTACCAGCAGCACTTCCAGGCGGCCCAGCAGCAGCACCATCACCACCACCACCACCTGATGGGTGGCTTCAATCCGCTGACGCCGCCCGGTCTGCCCAATCCCATGCAACACTTCTACGGCGGCAGCCTGCGGCCTAGTCCACAGCCCACTCCGACAGCGCCATCCGCTGCTTCGGTGACCTCGGCCACCAGCGAGAAACTGCAAGCCCTCACCCCTCCCATGGACGTGACGCCGCCAAAGTCGCCCGCCAAGTCTAGTCAATCGAACATGGAGCCCGAGAAGGAGCAGGACCAGATGTCCAACTCCAGCGAGGACATGAAGTACATGGCCGAGTCGGAGGACGACGACACCACCATTCGCATGCCCATCTACAACTCGCACGGCAAGATGAAGAACTACAAGTGCAAGACGTGCGGCGTCGTGGCCATCACCAAGGTGGACTTCTGGGCACACACCCGCACCCACATGAAGCCTGACAAGATCCTGCAGTGCTCCAAGTGCCCCTTCGTGACCGAATTCAAGCACCACCTGGAGTACCACATCCGCAAGCACAAGAACCAAAAGCCCTTCCAGTGCGACAAATGCAGCTACACCTGCGTGAACAAGTCCATGCTCAACTCGCACCGCAAGTCCCACAGCTCCGTGTACCAGTACCGGTGCGCCGACTGCGATTACGCCACCAAGTACTGCCACAGCTTCAAGCTGCATCTGAGGAAGTACGGCCACAAGCCCGGCATGGTGCTGGATGAGGACGGAACCCCCAATCCCTCTCTAGTGATTGATGTCTATGGCACCCGACGTGGCCCGAAGAGCAAGTCTGGAGGAACCTCGAGCAGCGGATCTGGCAGCAGCAGCCGCAAGCCCAATGTGGCAGCCGTCGCTCCTCAGCAACAGCAGCCCCAGCCACAGCCTCAGGCAGCAGTACCCACACCTCCCACCTCTCAGTTGAGCGCCGCCCTCCAAGGATTCCCTCTGTCACAGACAAGTGCTGCTCCAGCTATTTCCTCTCCAGTGCCGCCGATGGTCCCTTCGCCCAGCAAGAGCGTGACCAGTGGAGATCAGAGCTTGCCAAGCCCGGCCAACCTGCTGCCTCCGCTAGCTACCTTGCTGCAGCAGAATCGCAACATGGCCTTCTTCCCCTACTGGAACCTCAACTTGCAGATGCTGGCCGCCCAGCAACAGGCCGCCGTCCTCGCCCAGCTGTCTCCCAGGATGCGAGAACAACTCCAGCAAAAGCAGCAGCAGGCGAACAGCGACAACGAGGAGGAGGAGCAGGACGACGAGTACGAGCGCAAGTCGGTGGACTCCGCCATGGATCTCTCTCAGGGAACTCCCGTCAAGGAGGAGGAGGGCCAGCAGACTCTGGCCATGAATCTGAAACTGCAGGAGGAGGACACGCCATTGATTAGCAGCTCAAACGCCTCGCGGCGCAAGGGCCGCGTCCTGAAGCTGGACACTCTACTGCAAATGAAATCAGCGGCCCTCACATCCCCCGAACAGCTGAAGGTGCCCTCGAGCAGCATGCTCACCGCATCATCTCCCATCGCCGGGCACAAACCATTGCCAGAGGAACACTGCTCGGGAACCAGCTCGGCCGACGAGTCGATGGAAGCGTCCCACGTGCCGCAGGCCAACACCAGTGCTAGCTCGACCGCCTCCAGCTCGGGCAACAGCTCCAACGCCAGCAGCAGCCACAGCGGTAGCGGTACCGGAAGCAACATTAACGGAAGCAACAGCAATGCCAGCAGCAATGGAAACGTCAGTGCAGTGGCCCCGGCTTCGGGTACACCAGCGGCGGCAGGAGCCATCTATGAGTGCAAGTACTGTGATATCTTCTTCAAGGACGCCGTGCTATACACCATCCACATGGGCTACCACAGTTGCGACGACGTCTTCAAGTGCAACATGTGCGGCGAGAAGTGCGACGGCCCCGTCGGCCTCTTCGTCCACATGGCGCGCAACGCCCACTCCTAAGCCGAACCAGCCGACCTTGTTATTATTTATCTACACACTATTATAACTTTGATATCGTTGTCCAGAATTGTAAATACTCGTAGCTTAAGTTTTCAAAATTATTTTGTTGTCAAGAATTGTAAATAAGCAAATCAACTAAGTCGCTAGCAAGCCAATCCTTCTAATCCTAGATCTAAGTTTTAATATCTAACTCCTAACTGTATCGAACTGTATGCACTTTCTATCTATCTAACTGGCTCTTGTATCTTTGAATTCGACTAAGAACCCTGAAGAAGGTTTAAAAAATGATCATCAATTATCATCAAATTACTCCTAAGTTAATATTATTTGTAAGCCAAAACCAAACAAAACCAACAGTCCAAAGTCAAATTAATAAAATATATAGTTTATAATACATGAATGAGTATATTTTATAAAAATTATTTTTAGTCATATTTGCCCTATATACGCATAAACTGATATTCCCCCCAGTATTTTGTTAGTCCAACCAGGCCAAACGCAAATCGAGTCGATCGAAATCAAATAAAAACTATACACAAATTACACAATATCACTTTTTATTTTATTTTCGGCACAAATCTTTGGCAAAAATGACAATATTTTCGATGCAACTGAAACAGACGAAAGAAGAAGTACAAATTTATATACTTTTTTTATATAAGATCAGTGAATCTGAGCAAATGGATCAAAATTAATAATATTTAGCTATTAAAATCGAAAACAATTCCGAGGTCTCGGCATGCCCAGTTTCGTGCTGGGCACCTTTTTAAGTACAATTGTATAATTAGCATAAGAGTTGTAAAATTATAAGCATTATAAACCATCAGAAGTCTTTATTGGTTTCGAAACAGATAGCAATGGTTGGATACTATCTAAACATTTTCAAGTTTAACTATGAAACCTGGTTTTATTTAATTTCCGAAATATTCCAATTATGACTAAAAAGAAAAGATTTTTTAGATAATTTTATAATGTAATGAATGACATGTACTTTGCTATTAAAAATTTTAAAGCCAAAAATAGATTGATTTTTTAAAGTAATATGGGATATACCCAGACCCTGCCATATGTCGGTGACTTGCTTACAAAAATCCATTGTTAGCACGCGATTTTTTGAAAATGATGTATCACCACCCGCACCAAGTAGTTCCTGACAAAAAAAAACTGCTCCATCATGTGCTAAATATCCAAGATATATGCATTATAGAGAGGAGAAGACAACAACAGAAGATTGTTGTGCGGTTGGAAACCAAACAAATTAGACCATTCTCTAGGATCTCCCTAGGATTTCCTTTCCCGGTTTGAAAATTTTGATGGATTATTGACATTTTGTGTTGAAACGCACATTTTCCACATTGCGTCAGGGGGGATTGAATAATAATAATGAGAAACCCATGAGCACACGTTGAAGAATTCGCAGAGGTGTGGGGCAACGCCTTCCACTCAAGATGACGCAGCACGAGGCGACCTCCTCCATAAGGAGGCGACGCGGAAACGATCTTGGGGTTGTTGCGCATGCGTCGAGCACGCTTCACCCGAAATGAGTGAAAAAAAACTCCATTTTATGAAAATGCTACTGGCGCCGCATTTAATTGATGAAACAATTTTTAAGTTAAGCATTTCCCCTCCTAAATTATTATTCGTTTTAATGGCCTTTTTCCCATTTAAATTTCTCATTTATTAATATTTATGGGCGGAATAAATTCGGTTGCGAGTCAAGGGTGGCCAAAGATGATGGTTTAAAATCCCCTACTTCCACAGATCTTATCACAAATAAGATCTTGCATATCCCTTTTAGATTAAAGCCTGAGCAAATTTAGAGATCCTGGTGATTTCAGTAAAGTTAAGTTGCCGATTTGGCCATTGTTTCGAATATATCCTTGGCTTGTGGCTGCCGCAAGCGAAAGATGTTTATCATTTGAAAGGAAGATGAGTCCGGTATGGCCAAAGGTCGTAACCCCATTGTCCTGACCCGAGGAAACGATCCCTAGTTTTTGGTTTCTTATCTCAGCTTGTGGCTTTGTTGCATTTTTTGTTCGTCCTGCAGCGGCCTATTGTTTACGGAGTGGACAAAAAAATCTATAGAAAAAAATCTTGGCCACTTTGTCTTCTGGGAGTTCTTCAAATAGTTCGATTGCCTGTCTGCTGACCATTTGAGTCTTGTACTTTGGGTCACTTAGGGTTGCTATTATCTTGGTTTTTTTTCTAAAAATGCAGCTGTTTTTCCATCCGGCCCGTGGAGATTCTTTCGAATAAACTCCCCCAACTTTGAATTAAAATAGAGAAGCGTGTTTAGCACGTGTATTGATAAACTCTAAGACATTTATTATTTCATAACTTAAAGTATAATATAATATTTTAGATGATTTTTATAAGTGTACTACCGATAGAAACGAAATCTCCCATTGAGCTGAGCAATTCCATAAATACAGTATTTATGTAAAGCCACCACCTTCCACATCGCCATTTTGGGATGGGGTGCTGGATTAGTTCTTGGTTACGGACTGAATTTGGAAGTGGAGGGAAGGTAGCCATTTTTAGCCGTCCTGCACTAAAAATATCAGCAAACAAAAATAGCAAACACAGTTTAGTGGAAAGGGGTTACAAGGTTTTTCACTCACTTTTCCCAAAAATATTACTCGGGGGGTTTCTGGCAGCCCGTTGTGGGTGTTTAGCTGATTGAAGCACTCCTGGGGGTGCTGCTATCGATGATTAGCAACCATCCCCTAGCCCAGCTAATAAGACCCCTCATCAAACAGCCGCCTTCGATGAGCTGTTGATTGCATCAGGAGAAGCCGGCGCCCACATCCCAGAGATCAACCAGAAAATACCCAAAACTCCTCGGATCCTTTTTTCCACAACTTTACGCATTTTAATTATGAAAATTGCCAGAGCCAGATCAGACGGGATCGGCCAGGGACCCGGATCAAAGGCTCACCCATCATCTGTGTGTGTGGGTTAATTATGAACGGCGATCCTTTCAAAGTCTTGACCATGACGTCATGTGCAAGTCGGTTACTGGTTACCTTAAGGATTTGTTGAGCCACCGGTTATTTATTTCTGTAAACAGTTTTTCACTGGAATTGATAATGGCCCGAGAGTGCATAGTTGTGGGAGACGAAAAGGGACGAGAACACAGAGGTCCTTTTCGATTCGTCCAACAGCTGACCAGAGTCTGAGCTGCGATATTGAGGTGGGTGTAGCGAATTCTTAAGTGGCCATTGCCGATGCTAACGAGGGACTAAACACGTCAACCAGAAGTTTGGCACTCAGCCAGGATAATGGAAAACTGTAAGGGTTTATCAAGAAATATACTTGTATTTATATTAACAAAAAACTGTACGGATTTAGATCTTTTATTTTAAATTATGTTACACTTTGCTTACTCATAAAATTATTAATTTATTAAAATGTTAAAAGTACTTTTTTTCTCAATATGCAAATCACTTAATTTTATTCCACGAAAAGTCAATCTGATCGTGCATAAAAAATACTTACTTAAAGCTTTTAGAGTAAAATACTGTAAAGGTTATTTGCTTGGATTCAGAGATAATTCTAATCAGTGTATACCCTTTAACTAAATGTTTTATCATTCGTATGTATATATATATGTTATTATAGGGGACTTACAGTGGCCCATGTTTTACATATGTATATAGCAACACACCTCAGTTATTAAAAAAAATTAATTATAAAATAACCTTTTTTTCCAGAATAAAAACGTGAATTTATTTCTAATAAAAATCAAATTTAAGCAAAAATTATTAAGTTTCAATCTCTCTATCTGTATGAAAAACGTAGCTTTCAGAGATACAAAAAAACTGCATCGCAAGGCAGTTCATGTATGTAGGTACGAACCTACGTTCTCAGTTCATGAGAAGTCACTTTCACTTTTTCTGCGAAATAGTCTAAACTTTAAGTGTACATCTAATCTTTAGTTAACGTAAAATGTCGCAGAACTAAAAATATACAAAAATTATGAGAATAAAATTATATTTACAGTCAAACTAAGCCCCAAACATATAAACACACACGAACATATAAACACACAAATCAGAATCACATCTAGAGTCGATATATGTAAGCTTACCTCGAGGATCTACCGACTATATCCTACAGCTGAAACATACATAACAGACCGATCGAAAAAGGCCCAACCTTAGAAATTTTAAAGATGGAAGCTTATGGCTTTGTTCAAAATTTTCATTATAAGAAATTATTTTGATAATGATTATATGGATCATATATTTTATAACAAGAACTGTCACTAAGGGTATTTAAACTAAAGCTTCACCCGAACTTAGCTTTCCTTACTTGTTATACAAGTTAACGTTTGAACTTTAATGAAGCAGTTAATAAAAGTATATGGATTTCCTGGAGGACAACAAACAATTGTAATACATGGAAAAGAATAAATTTCTTTAAAAACACAAAACAAAAACACACTTTTGCCACATCAGCTATTAATGTAAGATTAGACCTAGGTTAAAGATTAGAAAAAAGTTCTGTACGGGTTATATTTATGTCTGAGTGCAAGCTTAAATAGTTGAGTAATTTTTTAGGCAAGATCAGTTCAATATTTACTTCCCGAGGATTAACATCAAGTGATTCGCATAATGGAAAAAAAGCTATCCCTTTTTCTGGGGACTATTTCTTGCGCCCTGCTCGTCCTGTGCAGTGCAACCCAGTTCGAGGAGTACGTCGCCCTGGAGAAGGCCGTCAATAGTTTGTCCAACATTATTGGCACATACAACACCGAATTTGATCGGAAAGTCAAGTTTAACGTCCTACAGGATGCCATCGACTTAGTTAATGTTGCTACGTTTACCTACTATGGAGAAGCTAAAAAGAATTTGGACGAGGTATCCCAGTTGGGCATAGCTGCAGGGCGTACATACCACGAGTGCGTCCGTTCTGTCTTTGAGTGGTGTTATGCCATGAACAATACCCTAGGAATGTTCACTCCCTATATCACTGACACGAATATGACTCTTGAAGACAGGAATGTGTTGTGGAACATGACTGTGGCAGCTTTGGCTTCAGGGCTCAACCAAACGAGCACCTCATTGGATCTATTGGATGCGTTGCAGAGCAAACTGGAACCTGTGAAACAGTCGATGGACGACATGCTTCAGGCAATGTTTAACGAATATTTAAAGGAACCGTTTGACGAAAAAAGATATCCGACATTTAGGCCCTGGATAGAATCTATTCGCATACTTTTCCTCCGGGTTGTGCATATTGTAGTTGGCAGCATTGGTGCGGCTTTTAACATGTTACCAATATTTGTTAATGAAGGGTTAGCTGACGTAATGGATCCGCGAACAAGCGTTCCAATTGAACAGCAAATGAGGACAATTCAAGTATTTTTTCAGACATTGGGCGAAAAGTTTAACTTTGCCAAGAAAATAGCCATGGAAGTCAACGCAGCTCTAAAAGAGGATCATCAGAACCTGAATTCCCTGGCTTCCCTAATTGATGCGGCAAACAGGGTACGTAAACAACTAAATCAATAATTTTTCATGAAATTAAATGTATTGCTT